TCAGTTTTATGTCCACGCTGTACAGAATGGCAATCGATAAAGTCCAAGTCGTTTTCATTTTCAAAATGAAGCAATTTCTAATATTTGGGGCGGCAAACTGCGACAAAACCTCAATATTGGGAACTTCCCCATTATTCATGGAAAGGACCTTCCGTTACTGTCGAATCATAAGTTATATATTTATGTACCTTCTCAATTCATTTGTACACCGAGTATTTTTGGTCAGAGATGTGATTGTTCCATAACTTTTCTTGGAAGTTTTTATGAGGCTAAATGTAGTTCTCGAATTTTCGATCGTTTGAAAATCAGCGATACACAATTGTGAGTAGACATTAAAATCACCCTGTACAATGCGCGACTAAGTATGTTGTGAGTAAATCAACGTATATTAATTATTTACAATTTATTATTATTGAATAAATCTGTCTCACATTAACAAAATAATCATTATTCTTAATTATCATTAGGTATTATTACTATTATTCATTATTATCGTATTGTATTCTTAATCATGAAGGCAAATGTATTTATTTTTATTCAGATAACCAGAAAAGCAGGCTAAGGCACTAAATGTTTTGATTATTTTCATTAAAATATTTGAACTTGCTGATACAGGCGGTGTCAATAGAACAGTGGGAATATCTCTTGCACCAATGTTGCTAAGTTTGAGCTATATTCAAGAGGAGGGTCAGATAGGATTAATGAGCCAACCACATACATTTTTACTTGAAACAAATTAAACTGGGTGAATTACCTAAGGATGCGAAGAATTATTCAGTGGGTTGTACTCACCAAAATAGTTAAAAGAATTCAAATAAAAAAGATGATGATAAAAAAAATTAGAAATACCTTGTATAATTTTTAGCAATACTACCTCCTTAAAAATAGATTAGTGCGATCTGTTCGAGTCAAGTTTATGGTCATTTAGTTTTACTTACTAGAATCACTCTGGAGGATTCAGTATGAATAAATTGGAGACTAATATGTTTGAAAAATTGAATCGTGTTAGTGATGGAAAAATTCAAGTGACAACCGTTCAAAACTGAAAATACAATGAGATCAATAAGAACATGAGTACAATGTAAAAAAAACATATCAACAAATCAAAATAAGCTGAGTAAATTCACCCTGTAACTCATATATGTTCCTATCCACTTTTGTCACTGAGAAGTCTCAGAAATTGAGTAAGGAAAAATCATTAACAATAATAAATTTCCATTTTTATGTTGGAAACGGGAGCAGATCCGTTCCCGAAACGTCCAAAGCAAAGTGAACATCTGATATTTTCTCGATATATCTATACTCCTCTCCTTTTTTCAAAACAGGGTATCTCTCATATTGATACTGATATTTTAATTTGTAGAAACGAGAGCAAATCCCACGAAATCTAGAGAAATCACACCATTTTTTATTCCCAATCTCAAGTAGATATGTATATTTCAACATATCTGAATTCCGATAATAATGGCTGTTTGTTTTTTCGAGTCTATGCCAATATTTATCACACAAAACTTACACATTTCCCTGAAAATATTCAGGGTGGTTAGAAAAACAATTACATTTTCACGAGTTTCAAATGCTTGTTTTCGAGAGTCGACACTTTCGCATCACGATTTTCATATACAGTGTCATCCATGAAGGCCGTAACATATGGGGAAAAGTTCGTTATTAAAGTAACGAAAAATATTTTCTCGGGGATCCATTATGCATGTACAATAACCTAATAATCGATTTTGCCTGTCACGTGATCACTTATATGGCGGTGAATTGGAAAAAAATGACTATGAAGGTGAGGTGATATGGCAAGATATCGAAAAAAAACTCATCTGAAATATAATGTATAGTGACTATATTCAAAATTTCTTGAAATTATGGGTAGTGCAAATTTGTTTTTCAGGATCTGTTTCAACTTAGCAACATCGCGTGAAATATTCAAAAAATAAAAAATAATTTGGTTCCTTTCGGGTTTTTCTAGTACAATTCTTTTTTTTTTAAATTGATTAAAAAAATATTCAATCGTCCCACTGGTCTAGAGACACGCTATATACAAATGGAGGGTGATTTTGGAATGCTTATATGTATTTGAAACAACAATATCTTTGAACGAGAAAATTTGCACCAGTCAGTAAAATATTTAAAAAATTATACCAGTCAATGACATCGAATTGCCCTCATGCCCACTTTGTGAGTCGTTTAGAAAACAAACATAATATTGCGTGAAGATCGAATTATTTCTGCATCAGAAATGTATAAATATCAATTTCAAATTATGAATCAATCGAAATGAAAAGTGAAACTTTCTTCCGCAACTGCTTCAGAACATAACATTATTTGTAATGTTTTCAACCTGAGAAACAAATTTTTGCTACCTATGGCAATAATACATTTTCGTTCCCAATAGTAGATAAAAAAATACATCATCTATCCTCTCTGGAATGCTATGAATTTCTTTCTCATTTGGAATATCACTAATCTGGCTTTAACGAATAACAATTGCACTATTTACAGAATAGTCAGAATTTTGTATAGAAAAAGCCTTCATAATTGAAAATGAGTATGTTAATAGTGGAAATAATAATATATATGCCGGCGTCAAACAGTGAAATCCGTCATTTTCTTGAATGCCTAGTCATTTCACGCATTGCCAGCAAACAGCGTAACTCTAAATTTCGTACACCGTTTGCCTAATAGTTTCTGGCATTCCCTGTAATGACGGAAGGAAGTTTCATTCAGGCACAGCTCAGGTTGTTTAGAAGCAGTATTCTCTTCCGTTCTCTCAAGTAATTTTCTGAAAAATATACTTTCTAGGAAGAAGGTTCATTTAGGCGGAAAAATAGTCTCCCATGTTATGCATATGCAGAAAGGATATTTTCCTTCCTCAAACCTCCGGCAAACAGAGTAACGACTGAAAATGGAAGTTACGCTGTAACGCTGTTTGCCGACAATACGTGAAATGACTAGGAATTTCAGTGAATGACGGATTTCACTAATTGACGCCGACATATACATGTATATAAATCACGGCACAGAAGACTACTCTCGGCTCTCTTATTTATTTCTCACTATGTCGAAGCAAATTGGAAAATAATACACATCCTTAAAAATATCTTCAGTACCTCAGCATACATTTATAATTAGTATTATTGTTGATGATAAATACATTGTCGTTCATTTTTTTCAAAATATCAAAAAATTTCCGTGAACTCAACCAGAATTATTATCAATTTCAATCCACTAAACAATGACCAATATATTGGGACAATGGTTTTCAATTATTATAGAATTGCCCCCAATTTATATTTTTGATGGTTCTACTCGATGAGATAATATTTTATCTCTAATTATTGCAAAATGTTTCTATGGAATTGGAAAATATATTTATATACATTTTGGATGTTCATTAAGTTGCAGTCATAATCTGGCAGAAGGTAATTCAAGGCCCACTTTTCATGATTTGAATTGATTTTTAGCTGGATAGTATGTTTTATTGCACTAACGATGTACCTAATCAAAATTCTGTCTCTAGCACTTCAAATTCATGAGGAACTTGAAAACTTATCATCTTTGACGATTCATCTCAAGATAATTTTTTCATGAAGTGTCCACGGGAATACACATTTTTTTACCACAAAAAGCGAGTAGTGTTATCTCAGACCAATAAAAGATAGACCTATATCTTTCATCTTTCTGATAGTGCCCTTATACTTGTCAAATACCCCTTATTTACAGGATAAGAATCGACTGGTTCGGATTTCATCGGGTAGTTTCGCTTGCCAGTCATGTCTTTGGCGTGTAGATGACATATTTCCTTGGGAAATAATGGAGGATTATTGGTGTTTGGACTGAGGTTAACTTGATGAGTCATACAAAATGAAATTGGTTTGTTTGATACCTCGTGGAACATTGTTTTCGTTGTCTTTGTACTGTTCTATTTTAAGAAAATTCTCCGAATTTGAATTAGTACACCTATTGATCAGTAGGGCTGTGCTATATTGGATTTCTTATATCGATTATCGATAAGCCAAAATGTTCAAAAAAATGGTCGAGGGATTGAGTTTGTACTAGGTACGTTTGGAATTATTTTATTTTGAAAACTGATGAATATTCTATTTGCTTCTGCCTCAAATACCATATGGAGAGTTACATCAAAATAGCATGTACAGGGTGGGCCAAATTAGATGCTCTTGAAGGGAAAGTGAGGAAATTCTATTTTCAAACTTGATAGAAGAACACTGTTGTCAGTGGCTGAGTAATTTTTTTTTCTGGAAAACTCAGAGGTGGGAACTGCACATTGATATCTTTCTTCATTTCTTAGTAACATGTATGGTGTTTTTAAAAAATTTCAATTTTTCAAAATTGTCTAAAACTCGGTTTGAAAATGAAAATATTTACAAAAATTGGTTTGTCTTGAACATTGATCCTCAGGCACATGAATCAGTCTTCCTATATCTAGTTCGCAAATAGAAAATGCACTTTTAGGACAAATATCAATTTTCCAAAATTTCACTTTTTCAAATCTTGCTGTAATGATAATATCTTCTCTAAAACTATATTGCTAGTTGCAAACAGAAGCGACCCGATTGTGTGATGACTAGCAGACTTTCAACAAGAGAATATAAAAGCTTTATATGAATTTTATATCAACATATCCAAATATCAATAACCATGATGTACCGATATTTATAAAAATTATCATCGTAGTTCGATATATCGATATATTTACCGGTCGCTAGGAACGGATTAATAATTTCCCCAATTCCCCTCACCTCCCTTCAACACGAAGAGAGATATCTAGATCCCTCCGTCAAACAATGTAATGCATTGAAAATAGGGGCAACGTGTTTATGACTTCTTATTGGTGTGAGAGTGTTATAGTTATAGCTATAGAAGACTATAAAAATAATCATGCATATCATAAAACCTGGCAGCGATACAGATCATTTTTGAAATGAGATTCCCATCTAAAACAGGGCTCATTCTTCTAATTGATGATTGCAGAATCATGAAGCCCGAGTTATCTTATTGCGTAATACTAGTGCACTTTCTGCTGATACTATTATTGGTAAAGCATTTTCATAGTGATAATGGATGAGATGGCCAACACTGCTGAATGTCCTATTTTTAGTTCTCACCTACAACAAAATAAAAAATTATTGGCGTTATTTGGGAAGAATTATGGAATTATATCAGAATCAAATTGGATAAAAGTCAAATATCTAATCCCAATTTTCTATGTTCTATGAAGTCGGTCAGAATGAGTCACACTGAACTTTAAAGATAAAAAGCATGTCATACCACTCCTTCAGGGTCGATCAACAATAAATGTTTCTTATTGTTGTCCTGCATTCCTGAGAGGACAAACTGTCTATCCATGGTGTTCGTGGATTCTCTAACAAGAAAATCGCCATCATTCTGAAGCATACTTTCAGCTTCGGCGCGACTTATCTGACCATGGAACCAATGTTCGTTTTCTAGTTGACCAATAGGGTCATTATCACTTTTCGGTAACGTTGAACCAGGGGTATGATGAATGAATGGTTCTGAAATGACCATAATACAATTAGTGTACCTAGTCCAACAGTTTATAACTCGGTTTGTAACATACGAGATAAGTTGTATTCTTAGAGTATTGAAAATGACCGATGGGTGATTTTTGATCGATTATCAACACTTGACATTCGACTGATGACTGTTAGGTGGCTAATGGGAGTTTTGAATGAATCTGGGATATACCTACCTTTTTCAATTATAGATTATTTAAAAATCGATTCCAACATATTCAAAGTGGCGAAGAAATATTAACCCGTTTGAGACCGCGCAGGGTAGAAAATGTCCTAGGCGATTTCAAATATGGATATTTCGCTTAACTTACACGGCAAAGGAATAAAACGCCTTCTCAGTTCCTCAATATGATCAAAACATGTATAAACATGTTTTACGGTGAAATAAGCACACTGAGTGTAACAGCTTTTTATATGATTAGAAGCAGAATCAGCATTGATCATATTTTACTTATTGCAGTGGCCGCAGTGGATCAGACTATTCCTAGTAATTCCCATAAAAATTAACCTGCGTGGGAGTGCCGCACAACTTTCAAGTTCAAGAAATCCAACTACTGATCATGAAAAAAAACATTTGTTAAATTTGTACTTTGGAGTTTCTCGTGACCTCACGTCATTGATACAAGACCTTCAACTCATCAAGTGCTTGACATTTTTCAACCGTTTGCAAGTGCTGAATGCAAAATGCATTATTTTATTCAAAAATCTGATCTCACTGCTGAACAAAAGCAAGCACAATCTCGTTTAATCAAAACAATGGCACTTAATACACTCCTCACTAGACTCGAACCACATTCAGGTCAAATAATTCGCGCTTCAAATCCAGCAGACTTGTTGGAAGTACAAATTCGAATAAGACGAGAGCTACAGTTGTCTTTGAAAGTCAAGAGATAGAAACCCAAGGCATTTCACCTCCTCAACAAATAGCTAGAAGACCCCCAAATGCCCCACAACGACAAGCACATTTCACTTCTGTGGTCGCGCTGGACATATATCTAGCGAATTTCGACTAGGAAAACAGCGAAAGTCACCAAACGATCAAAATTTTACCCAAAATTCTTGCCCAAATTTCCAAAGACAACCAAATTTTCAGCAACGCCCAGAATTTTAATAGACTAATTAAAGGACCTCAGGTGATATCAGAAAATTACAACCGCAAGGTTTAGTGACAAGTATGATAGATAGGACTAAGAGGAGTTGGCAAAATTACATTTTCTTGTCTATGATTTTTCAAATGGCGACAATTTGTTTACTAGCACTCTCCGGAAGAAGGATATTTTGACAAATCTAGCGATACTAATTTATTTGCGTTTAGATTAAAAATAAACATAAATTAAATATAAGTAGGGAAAATATTGGATAATAATTTATTCTTTTTCTATCAAGTTTGTCATGGATGATAATTGTCATACCCATATCCAGAATTGTCTCAGAAATCCAAAAATGTTACAATAATAACGACGTTTCATTTCCATCAAATTGAGCCATTTCCGGTGAAACCGGAAGTGACCAGAGAGTGAAAAATATGCGAAAACTCTCCTATATACATACCATTTACCTATACCAAATCTCATTTCCATACCCCTAATAATGATAAAGGTTTGACTTGTTCAATAGATTGGTTGACACCCGGTATACAATAGAACTTATGTATTGTGTATCTCCCAGTACACCCTACCTTGAAAGTGAATAAGTCTTGTTCTTCAACGCCCTTGTAATCAAGTTATGATGCGAATTCACAAAAAAAGGGCAATGTGCCAAAGAAAATGATATTTTCTGAATTACCTTATAGGTATGGAGTAATAATCTTTGGTAGAAGTCCATGGAGAAATAATATTTTTGTATAGAACTTCAACGCCTTGTAATCAAGTTATGATGCATATTTGCAGGTACGTTCATGAAGAAAAGTCCCATATTTTGCGAGTCCCTATATCGCATCCCTAAATTAACGTACAAAGATCAGGATCAATTCATTGCAACAATAATCATTATTGGACATTATTATACAGGGTGTCCGAAAGGCCATGTCGTAAATGATTGGACTGATAGAGTTAGCCAAAATAATGTCAGTACTTCATATAAAAAAACGTCTGTCGCTCTTCGTTACGGAGTTTATACCTAGAAAGTTGGAATAAAAAAAATATATTCCATGTATAACCTTTAAACAATTGCCATGGTATCAATGATATTCGAGCAACTATATTAACTCATACTAATGCTCCTGTCCCTACCTCCTGTCCCTATCCTCCCTAGGAATGCACGATGTTCTTTGAACATTATAGGGATTCCCTTTCGTGCGCTCCAAGTGATTGAAAAAAAAAGAAAAAAAAATGTCAACGGCAGTTTAGTGATCATGTTTTACACATTATGGGACGATTTTTTTCATAAATGACATACAATTATTTTGAGAGTATTCAATAGTTTGGTAAAACCATGGATGTGTTCAGTAATGATGAGTATGCAGATATGCACCTTATGTATGGACTTGCAGAAACTTACAAGGTCAATAACTCTGTAATGAAGTGCAACAGACATTTTTTTTATGGAGTACTAACGCACTATTTCTCTCATTCTTCTGCTCATATTTCTGCTCACTCTATTGGTCCTATCATTTACGACCTGACCTTTCCGGACATCCTCTATATTGCAGCTTTTTTTTTCCAAAACATCATTCTGCGATTTTACATTTCATTTTTATGAATTTGCTTATTGTAATAGACGCTATTTTGATCCATTTCATAATGAACTCAGAAAGGCAAAATAAAGAAAACATGTTCAACTCACGCATATCAAAGACGTCTCTTTCCCTGTGAATCATCACTGCATCATTGACATAATCATGATGGGGCCCATCCATGGGCAAAATATCAGAATTCAGATCTATTAAGTTGGGCGTTTGAACAGGCGGCAAAGTGGTCAGTGGTGGTACCAGATAAGGCAAAGGGGGTACAGGAGGTGGTTCGCAAACATCGGGGGGAACTTTGCCTGGTAGATCATTGTAGTAGTCTTTATCTGCATCTCCTCCTGTTGACACCGAGGGATGACCCATACTTATGCCAAGGCTAAAAATTAAATCGCAAAATTTGCTTGGATTCTCATAAATATGTGCAAAATTCCACTCACATCATTGGTGATTTATTGGTGAACTGCTGAAACCTCAATTCAAAGGCTTGACCAATTGTTGAGATGACATCTTTTGCCAGTCCACCACAACACTCTAGAACAAAGCATGCCCTCATCTCAGTTACATCTTTTGCTATATATCCTACAAAATCCAGTGTATCCTAAAATTCCAACGGTTTATATGCTGAAATGAAGAAGGTAGGCACCTAACATCATATACATACTGTATCACCTCCAGATGCAAATGAAATTCTAGGCATCTCATGACTGGCTATCAGCTCATTGTTACTAACTGATGTGAGAGACAAATTAATGCTGGATACATTGAGATTCACACTTGTTCCAGAATACTTTAGGTTAGGTGCATCAGCAACTGCCTTCAACACTTTCTTGTCTACTTTTCTTTTCTTGTCAATGGTCTTAAACCTAGAGTGTTCACAAACTCGGTTTATGCATTCCCTGAAATATTTTTTCATGGACTAAACGAATCTACTGTCTATGTCAAAATACTAACTTGGCTACATTCGATCTTGTTTTGAAATCCAATTTTTTCATTGAAACTTTCACTTCTAAGCAGCCCACATACTGAAAAAAACAAAAATAATTGATATATTTGATATACAATTCTGAGTTTGTGCAATACTAAATAAATGGGTAAAATTCGAGATAAATATTGAGTAACTCAGTGACTTTAGTTGTTCATAGGCCGACTTAAAATCGCAACAATTAATTTGATAGAGAATCACAAACCACATCTGATCCATATTAATTGATTTAAATCGTTCTTTAGACGCTTCACAAGTATTAACTGCTTAATTTTTTGAAAATCTGCTTGTCGTCAAAAACTCGTCCTACGTGCTTGGGGGGGGGGGGTAGGGGTAGTTCAGAGAAAAATATGGAGATTTTTATTCGCGGAAAATATTAATGGGTTTCAGCACTTTCAGCCGTTCAAATCCTAATTACGAAGACGAGTCGATCAAATTATATAAAATTTGGAATTCTACCAATTACATTATGGTATATGAGAAAATTCGGGAATAGAATCTTGAAATTCACAGGAAAAATTAAATCAATTGCTTTTTTCCAACATTTTTTATTTCGAATCATGCATGTATATTTTTGCAACCAATATTATTTGTCCATATCAGGTGGCATTTTGTTTTTAAATTCAGTTGAATTATTAGAAATGATGTATAGGCACAAAAAATGGGACCCGATTTGACACGATATGCTCGTGGTAACATTTTTATTATTATTAAAGATACAATCAACATTGTTAAAATCATCGAACTAGCACTATTTTCGAAGCTCTTTGTGATGAAATATCAAAAAGAACAACAGAACATCGCGTTCTCCAGTTGAGGCGGACAATACAACTTTTTTAACATGAAAATCTCTATCTTTTTTATTTTGGTCTGTTAGAACTCCAAGTTTCAGATACGAAGCTTGAATAAAAAAGTTGATTCTTTGGTCATTCGAACGGATTTGTATCATTAATAGAACAATGGCTGCGTACACCTAATTTGTATAACTCTGTATATTAGCTATACAGGATAAGTAGTCCCAAATGATTTCAAGTAACAAGTAATCATAGGGTCTTCAAAAGTATCATACAAACCGGTAATCAAAGAATGGGTTGGGTCATCAGATAGGGTTTTTAAATCCCAACACATCATATTATAATAATAATAGGTATTTAATCAACACTGATATTATTATTATTATGTTTGTATCGAATAGGCTCCGAAACTACTGGACCGATTTGAAAAATTCTTTCACCATTAGAAGCCGACATTACTCCTGATGAACAGAGAACAGAGGCTACTTTTTACCGCGGGAAAATGCTTCATTCCCAGGGGAAAACGGGTAAAAGGACAATGGGTAGTAAGAATTATCCATCCGTATTCATCAATTTCACATAACTTCAAAACGGCTGAATCGATTGGGTTGAAATTTTATATGGGTATTTCGATAGTTTCATTTTTTTTTAGATGGGTAGTTACCTACACTAACCGTGCGAAGCCGGGCCGGGCAGCTAGTGGTTCAATATATTGGTAAATCGGAACATGATTCAGGTAACTTGATATCAACTGATAGCAATAACCCGATAGTTCTCACAGTTGCCCAACACTTTCACTTTTTCAGGATCTCGCTATCTCTTATCTTTCAGGACGATACACTGTACAAATCCTGAAGATGTCATGCTTTTGTGATGAAAAATACAATTGTGATAATCGTTCACCTATGTTACATTCATTAAATCTGAATTGACAATGCCGCCATTTTGTTATTTTCGAAAAATTCTTCAGTGTGTCTAATCAATAAGGAACATTTATTGAACAAATTCTGGAAGTTTTATCCATTTATAATTAGAAATTCAATCTAAATGACCGGTCATCTGTGTTACATCACATCTTATATTCATATCAACTTTTTCAGGACCTTCTTATCTCAAATCTTTCAGGACTATATAGGTACTGAACAGATTCAAAAAATTTCATGCTTTTATAATGAAAAATACAATTGTATTGACCGTTCAGTTGTGTTACATAACATTTAAATGGGCAAGGCCGTCATTTTGTTTTCATGTCAACTTTTTCAGAGCCTGCCTATTTTAAATCACGTATACTGAACAATTCCTAGAAATGTCATACTTTCATCATTGATAGCACAATTGTTACCAAAATTTGCTCCACTAATATTATTGATTCGATTTTCAAATTAAGAGAATCTTTCACATTTTGAAACATGGGCGCATTTACATTACTCAAGATATTTTTTTGATAAACGGGCGCAGTTTCTGGGATAATGCGAGATATATGAAAAACATTTTGATGAAAATCCACAATTTTCGAGTTACAGCCATTTGAAATATAATTTTCTCATTTACCGTAATGTAATTGGTGGAATTCTGAATTTTATATAATTTGATCGACTTGTCTTACGAAATTATGATATGACAAGAGGAAAGAACTGAAACCCATCAGTATTTTCCGTGATTGAAATAAAAATACATATTTTGTCTAAACTACCCCCTACCCCCCAAATGCACAGAACGATTTTTTGACGACAAGTGGATCCATGATCTGGAGATGGCAGGTAACAATTCTAGCCATGCCACAGCTTTTTAGCTTTGATTTCTCAAGGTGTCAACGATAGGTTCTGATTGGCACTTTACAACTAACAAAGCCAGCTTGCTCCAAATGTGAATTATTGAAAAACATGAATTGCTTGGTCTGAAATCAACTCATGACATAATCACTTTTTTTAATCATTCTAAAATATTGTTACGTTATTCGGGTGCAGAAGCGAACACGACACTATTTATTTTCGAACTGATTTATTTGAACTATAGAAACACTAATTTATAACGAACTTAGAACTACTATTTATGTAAAACGATTTATATCACGCGGTATATAACTGTCTTTCTTACTCACGCTGCTCGACTCCCCGACGGCAGTTATTCGGCCGTTTATATATGAGATGACTAGACAGGCTTTGGTTCGAGAACCTTCTCGAATGATCTTCCGTCTCCTTCTTTTTGTTCTAGAAGCTTCTTAGAACAAACCTCTCTCTCTAATTGTTCCATCGATTGTTTCCAGAACATTCCAGAATCTTCTGTGACGTTATCTGTCACCGCGGCATATATTGAGTGTTCGGAAATATGCTAGTGCATTGGGAGGTAGGAGAGCAATCTGGTATGCGTGATACAGGATGATCGTTGTACTCCTGCCTTCCTGCTGATGTTTCTAAAGCCCCTCCAAGGGGAATATCATTACACTGCCCCCTCCTTAAAACGCATTCCTCCTGGAATGCATTCTGATCACTATGAAGATAGGGACAACTGGTTTCATTTTTACAACGTGCAGTATGGTAGAAATAGCATGGCACTGTCTTCTCTCTTGGAGTTCCCTTGGAGTTCCAGCAGCATACCAGAATTTCAACTCCGGTGAATCTAAATAAAACCTCTAGCATGTTCCTTACAATTCTCCAATTCAAGCCATCCAGTCCACACCCCAGCTTTGGAACAGCTATCTTCTGTATGTCCTTCTCGAGTATGATGCTTCGCAAGTCGACTAGCGTCTCCCAGAGGTCCTTGTAAGTGGGTTTCTCAGAAGATCTTCCTTTCGTTATAAGATAAAACAGTTCTAGTGCTCGACCGACGGAGGGACCTTGTTGATGAAGCTCCTCTAACTTCCCGAACTTCCTCATGAACTTGTTCGCTATTTCTTGAGACATCTGAAGATTCGAGAATATCGTTCATCTTTTTCATCAGATTCGTAACGTAACCTTCCCCCACAATGTCCTCACCAGGTCTACATCCGAAGACCAAGTCATATGGAAGCTTCATCTCTCGTCCAAATAGAACCTTCGCCGGAGTCTGTCCTGTAGATTCCTGTACTGCAGATCTGTAGGTCATCGATAAGAAAGGAAGATGTTGATCCCAGTCTTGTTGGTGTTCACCTACGACTTTGCAGAGATACCTCCCTATGGCTCGGTTCATTCGCTTCACCATGCCATCTGACTGTGGATGCAATGGAGTTGTTCTTGTCTTCTTGATTCCTAACTTCTCACTCATCTTCTTAAACACTTCACTCTCGAAGTTCCGGCCCTGATCAGAGTGAAGTTCCAATGGCACCCCAAAACAACTGATGAGTTGATTCATTAGGACATCGGCGACAGTTACGGCCTCCTGGTTAGGGATCGCATACGCTTCTACCCACTTGGTGAAGTAGTCCATGCAGACAAGGATGTATTTATTTCCATTATCAGTTACTGGAAACGTCCCCGCAATATCCGTGGCAATCCTCTCGAAAGGGCTTCCAACATTGTACTGTCTCATGGGTGCCCTTGGTTTTTTTTTTTTTTACGGTTTACGACGAGACCCATTGCTGGCAAAGCACACGGTGCATTTACGGCACCACTCCCTGACGTCGTCACTGCAGTTCACCCAGTAAAACCGCTCTCGTTCCCGCTGCAGTGTCTTCTTCACTCCTAGATGTCCCCCTGAAGTTCCATCGTGCCTTCTTGCCAAGAAGGGCGGCGATTCGCTTTCTTCCATTCCCGAAGCTTGCGAAGTTCTGGGTCCTTTTCTTGCTCTTGCTTGACTGCCGCAGGTGACCAATCTTCATTGACAACGGTGGTTCTGCAGATGACTGCTTCCTTATCCTCCAAACGACTACAATATGAGCACTGAGGTGGACATGGTCTTCTGGACAATGCATCTGCATTCTTGTGACTCGTGTCCCCACTCAGTGTGCTATCTCGAAGTCATAGTCCTGGAGTCTCTCGATCCAACGAGCTTCGGGTTTCTCAAAATTCAGGAGCCACTTCAATGCAGCGTGGTCCGTCCTGAGTAGGAATTCTCTCCCATAGAGGTACTTATAGAAGTGCTCAACTGATTTTACCATGGCCAATAGTTCCCTCCTGGTAACACAGTAGTTTCGTTTTGCCTTCGATAGCACTTTGCTGAAGTAACCGATGACTCGCTCTTGCCCATCTTGATACTGCGAAAGGACTCCTCCAATGTCGATATCAGTGGCATCTGTGTCAAGAATGAATTGTCCTTGTGGAAGTGGATA